ATATTAATTTAACTGTGAACCTAGAAACTTGTACCCACTTGTGAAAGAGATTTACTGTTGCTCTGGAGTGTGTTACTGAATATGTTAAAACTGTAGTTAAAAGCTTCTTCTAATTGTGTAGTTATTAAAAATTAAAAAAAAATAATGATAAAAAAAGTTGCTGGAATAAAGACACCAGTAAATGAAAGACAGCCCAGGTTCCTGAACTGAAGACAATAAAGTCTCAGTAACACCCCAAATGGTCTAGAGAATCAATGCAATTCTCATCAAAACCCTGAACACATAAAAAAATCCATCCTAAAATCCATCTGCAGCTGGAGCAACACCAAACAGACAAATCTTGAACAAGAGAAATGAAGGTAAAGTCTGCTTCTTGACTTCAGGATTTACCACAGCAACCAAAGCAGTGTGGAACTGCCATAAAGGAGACAAAAACTATGTCTTATAGAGTTTATAATGAGTAAAAGATCGTATAGGCGTAATAATTCAACTGTAAACCTAAAAATGTACAGCCAATTTTAAAGAGATGCATCCTAGCTCAGAAAATTATTATTTAATATGTCAATGCTGATGTAATGAAATGCTCTTCTAAGTATGTGGTTATTAAATAAATAAAGAAAAACACATACACCATTATGAAAAAAAAAAAAGAAAAAAACAAGAAACTGAATCAGTATGGTTTCATGGATTTACATGGGGCATTTGGGACTTGGACCTGCTTACTAGCTGTGTGGCCTTAGGCAAGTCCCTCATAATTTCTTCCTTTATATACAACTAATATCTTCATTTTGGACCATTCTCTGGAATGGGATTTGTTATTTGTGGAAATGTTTGGCAAAATGCTTGGGTTGTATGAGGTGCTGGGATAGATGTTAGCTTCCTTAATTTAAGAGGGCCTTCAAACTCAGTGACAGAGATCAACCAAGAAGCAATATGGAAAGGCCCAACAGATATAAAGTAACAGGAACACAGTGCTTCTACCTCATTAACTGAGAATATTTGGTTGTGGCATAGAGGATAGATGATACTCACATGCTGGGTTTTAAGCACAGCAACTAAACAAGCTAGCAGTTTAGGAGATATAGGAGGATCTTTTAAAATTGGAAGTGGAGATTCAGGCATCTAAAGCCACATGACTGAAAAGAGATGGTGCATTCACTGGATTTTCTGTCCTTGTCCACACGCGGTCTACATGTTTGAGCTGGGACACTTCCTTGGGGTCATGCTTTCTCCCTGCCGTTCATTAATCCATATTGCTGCTTCTCCCTGCTCCCCCAGCCCAGCCACCAATCAGGAGACACAAAGTAAGTCAGGATTTTACGGCAACAGAGGAGACTGGCTCTATGGTAATTTAGTGAAAAATCAGATTAGTAGAATCGGAAAGGTTTGAATACTATGTTTTTGAGGTACCTATATCCCTGTGGTTTGCAAGTAGAGCAAACTGATTCTGGTCAAAAGGGCTGACCTGCAACTGTGTGAGAAAATGCAGGGTCTGTGTTACTAAAAAGAGAGAGGAGGAAAGTGACTAGGGTGTCAGAAGGCTCCTACAAGGAGAGGAGACCAGAACAAGGGCTTCCATCAGTGGGGTCCTGGAGAATGCCTAGGTACCTGGAATCATGTGCAAGGGTAGGCAGTGAGTCTAGTCAGGCATTTCTTTGTGAATACGAGCTTTAACAAAAGTAAGCAAAGCTAACTTCTGGGTATTGGAGACTCTCCAGAGCCAGGGCACATGCGTGTGGATGCAGAACTGTGGGAGTGGGAGAGGCAGCATGACGGGGTGGTGGGTGGGGGGACTGGCATCCTTGGATGTGGACACAATCAAGAAGTTCCACTCACCAACACTCTCCTTGCACGACCAAGAGCATGATGGATGCACTGTGAGGACCATCGATAGGGTCTGAGTCTGAGTTGTACTAGTCACAAAGGGCACTCAGGATTCTAACTTGAAAATGTAACAATGCAGAGGGTATTTTGATCATCCTGGAAGCTGTGGGCTTCACATATGTCACCTGCTGAGTTATCCCTGCTAAATGATCCAGTCTGGGGAATCAGGGCTGCCAGGACCAACGAGGCCCAGGCAGCTAACATCTGCAATGAGCAGGACAATAGCCTTCTGTAAACAGCATGACCAACCTATGTTATGGCTGCAGAGAGTGGACCCTGGGTTACATATGTGGAGAGAGCGGGTACCACTGCACATGCCCCTGAAGAGAAGGGAGACAGCACCTCGCAGTAATTAGCTCAAAGGAAGAGAAAGTCTCAGGAAACAAAAAAAATATACCAGCAACGGCTCACTTCTCTATACTACCGTGTTGCTATGTAAACTAAAATACAAGGGATTTAAAATGTCATGTTTCTAAGATAAATGAGTATGGCATCCTGTTAGTCTTAGCCTCAGATTTCCCGGGCTGGTGTTTTGTATCATACTGAAATGTAATTGAAAAATTAAATTTCACCCACTCTGCTCCTAGGTAAGTGAAAATGGCAAGCATGACGTAAGCCAATTGATTTCATGTATCCATCACTGTAAAGCCTTGAAGAGAGTTTCAGGATGACAGCTGCAGTCCAGGGAGCAGCATACTTGTGACACCTATGTTTGGCAAGCACATAGTTTACAGATACATACTGCTGACCAGCAGGTGACATTCGTCTCAGAGAGGGGTCAGGCTGACCCACCTTCTGCTTTCTGCCTCCACTGTGACACTAGTCAGCTAGAAATATGTCTGTTTATGTACAAGAGGACAGTCCCGAGAGGATGTGCCCTTAAGACCCCCTGAAAGAGACAACTCCAAAGAAGTGGGAATTGACACTCTGTTCCTATGCATGTGTCTTTCAAAGATCAGTAAAATAAGGAGTGAAGGGAAACATGGCGAGGACAACTTCCTGCATTATCAGGAAAGAACATGGAAATAAACACCAACAACAGAGAGAAGAATGTACAAATCATGATCTGTCCAACAGTGAGCTGTTACTCAGCAGGAAAAAGCCAGTGACCATTCTACTACCTCCAAGCACGAAGCTCCAAACCATGCCCAATCAGAAAAGCAGTCAGACCCAGAAGGCAATGCATCTCATCAAGCCCCACCTACAGCCTGTGTACAGGAAGCATCCATAAAGTGGACCAAAAAAGCTAAATGAAACCCCAAACCAAAAGTCTATTTATCTATTCTCAGAGTTAGCCCACAAAGCAAAGCTGGATTTAGTCATTTCATTTAAAACAGGGAGTGGGGGAGCTGGAGACATGGCTCCAGTTAAGAGCACTTACTGCTCTTCCAGAGGACCTGGGTTCCATTCTCAGCACCCACATGGTAGCTAATAACCATCCATAACTCCAGTTCCAGGAGATCCGACACTCTTTTCTGACCTCTGCCGGCACTGTATGCATATGGTACACTTATATACATGCAGGTGAAACACTCATATACATAAAATAAAAATAAGTAAAACCTTTTTATAAACAGTTATTAGGGGCTGGGGATTTAGCTCAGTGGTAGAGTGCTTGCCTAGCAAGCACAAGGCCCTGGGTTCGGTCCTCAGCTCTGGGGGAAAAAAATTATTAAATAAGGCAGGGATAACATGGCTCTTTTGAACTAGATCTGTGCTTAATGCAAAGCTCCATCCTCATTTTAAAGAGCAGTGCTGAAACTTCTGCATGACCCTTAGAGTTGAGATGATGAACACTTGGGGAGCCCTGGTATACCCCACCCTCCTCTGCACCCCAAGAGACCTCCTCCTTCTGCCCTGCTTCTTCACTTCTTGGAGCTCCAGGTCTGTGGGCTTTTCATAGCGCTCCTTCCTTGCAAGATGTGCTCTGGACAAAGGAATTCTCTAGTCTAATGACCTTGGGAGACCACTAGCACTGTTTTTCTTCATCTTACCAATGAGGAAACTGGGGGTCGGAGAAGATCAAACACTGAGGGCTGCCCAGCAAACCCAAACAGAATCAAAGTCTACAGAACTCAGCATCCACACCACCTTCAAGATTGCCCTTGCACACCCACACACCAGCACCCCAGTGGACTTCAGTACACTAACATCCTTGTCCATCCTTGAAAATGAACAAGTGTGAATTATCATTAATTTGCTGAGGAGAAGAGGATGGCAGCCAGTAACAGTTAATGAAGTGTTGTGAGTCAAAGGAGATAAATCAAGAAAAAAAGATGAAGTCATTATTTTGGAAAGCACATAAGGAAACAAATTCATCTTTTCCTTAAAAGCCATATGAATAAAACAATACCCGAGACAGGTTAAGAAAGCTTCCTAATTAATAGAAGATGCAACAATAAAAACAGTAGGAGTGATGATAGCAATAGTTATAATAATTTATTATTGATTATATTATCAGATACTCCATACAAGACTACATAGTTCTATGACGTAAATAATATTTCTCTTTTAAATGAAGTTTTACTTATTTTTACTTTATGTATATGAGTGTATTGCCTGGATGTATATAAGTGCACTTATGCATACAGTGCCTGGGGAGGCCAGAAGAGGCCATTGGGTTCCCCAGAACTGGAGTTATAGGCAGCTGTTGGCTGTCTTGTGGGTGCTGGGAACTGAACTCAGGTCCTCTGCAAGAGCAGACAGTGCTCTTAACACCTGAGTCATCTCTCCAGTCCCAGTATTGTCATTTTTATAGGTGAGGAAAAACAGCATAAGCCCATGGATTCTGTCCAGGTATATGTGTATAGTGGTGGTTGTATAGGCTTTTTGGAGCTAAAAATCAGTTAGGTGCCTGGCAATATTGATCACCCTAGTTGTGGGGCTGGTGGGTGACAGGAACTTTCCACCCCACAGTATTATACTACCTTCGCAGGTCACTTCCCTCCATGTCCTATAATTTAGAGTTTCACAGGCTAGTTTAAAGAAGTATGTGACCAATATCTTACAAAACAACATATTCACATGTAACTTCATATACTTTTCCAAAAAAACACAGAAAGCACTGCACAGCTTCTGACCTCTATTCTTCCAGAAGGTAAAGAAGGGACACTTACCTTGACTTCAAACTCGAAGTGTTCATCCTTCCCTTGTCCACACAGGACATAGCGTGGGATACTAATCTTAATTGGGTCCTTCAGGTCGTCTGGATTTGCTCCCAAAGAGCGAGAAACCATCCTCTATCAAAGGGAGAACAAAAAGAAAGTTACATCACTGTGCTGCCAATACCCTGCTTGGGCAGGAGAGAGAAAATGTGTTTCAAGTAGGAAAGAAAAAAAAAAAAGAGCATCAAACTAGGAGCATTTATTTAGAGAAATGATGGCTTCCTTTGAAAGAGAAATGCTAAGCCTCTCTTGTAACAAAAGACCATTTCTTTAGGTACGCCACTCCAAGAAGTTAGGGCAAAAGCACTTCACAGTGTTGTTTGGCTTTGAAGTTCCTTCCAATTTATAAGAACAAGTGAAAACAGGGACAGATTACACTTCCCAAATTTAAAAATTAAGATAAAGTAGATTTCTTTTTTTCCAAACTCTTTATCTTCTGAAAACCATTTTTTTTCCTTCAGAGATTCTCTAAGTACTGTTCATAATGCTGTAAAAATTGGAAATTTTAATCAAATTCAATTTATCTTTAACTTTTAGCCATTTTTATAAGGCACTGTAGTGTGGAAAGCTGTGGAAAGCACAATTAAGACAAATCCCAAGTATTTGCTTTAGGCTCTGTTTGATTGATAATTAATGTGGCTCTGACAAGCATTTATGTTCCAAGTGGTGAGAGGCCAGAGGGATCAGATGAAGAAGCAGTGTAAAAATACTAATTTTCAAAATGAGTTGAGTATAAACAGGAAGAAATCTCTGAATAATCATAATTTACACTAATCTGCAGCTTTAGAAAACATAAAACAATACATTTTAGAAGCAGTATCAGTAAAAGAATATTACAAATCATAGTTAACATCTGTGGAATACTTACCCTATGCCATCCATGTGCTAACCACTTTGCATGTATACTTCCATCCATCTCCATGATCCCCCTAGGAGGTGCTAACCATTATGAGCCCTATTAACTAGGTGAAAGGATGACCGTGAGGCAAGCTTGCTCAATGGAGTAAGTGGTTGATCCAGGACATGAAATTTGTGCTACTCTCTGCTTTTGCTATTATAAAGTTTTGAGAGGATTCCATCTATCTGAGAAAAACTGGACTAATGAGCTCTTCAAACATGCATACAGTCTAAGGAGTTGAAAACTCCAAGACTATGCAATAAAGTCCTGTTTTCCTTTTTCTTTTGACCAAAAAGAAACTGGCAAGCAATAAATGCCCATTTCTCCAAGGGAAAAAGATGGCACTGGGTCCCTAGCAGGTGCTTACATCTGGCTGCCTGTCTGGCAGCTCAAAACTCTGGGTGCCACAGAGATGGAAAATTCAACCATTATAGCTTCCAATCCAGCACACAGAGTAGATGTTTGGCATGGCATGAAGTTATCAAAGCCTTTTTATAGCATCGGGGTTTTCCCCGTGGCTGGTCAACCAGGATAAGAAGCACTGCTTGCCACACGGCACCAAATTAGCTGTCCCCGATGCCAAAAACCAAGGTAGAGATGCTTAGAAAGCAAAAGACTTCAATTCATTGGTGGTCTATTTCCAAATTATTTTATATACACCTTGCCTGATACATATTACATGTTTACCAGTTTGAATATTAAAAGGGAAATAAAGAATTTAGTAGTTCTATTTGTAAGAACATGTTTAATGTTAAACAATAGCTCTCACCTACAAATGTCACCATTTATCCATGAGGTTCCTGGTCTGCTTCCCTTGATCCCTTCTATGTCAAGTGTAGCACCTACACTTTCCAAGAGATCGCCATCTCTTCTCCAGATCCAACCAGATGGCTCAGGATCAGTTTGTGACTGTGTATAAGCCAGGAGATGGATGCTGGGAAATACCTGGGCTGGACAGGATCAGTTTGTGACTGTGTATAAGCCAGGAGATGGATGCTGGGAAATACCTGGGCTGGACAGGATCAGTTTGTGACTGTGTATAAGCCAGGAGATGGATGCTGGGAAATACCTGGGCTGGACAGGATCAGTTTGTGACTGTGTATAAGCCAGGAGATGGATGCTGGGAAATACCTGGGCTGGAGACAACCTCAGCAGACAGGACCTGATGCTGTGAGAATTCCCAACAACTAGCAACTGTGCTAATACTGCTGACAAGGAGGAGGGGAGCCTCCTCATTCGACCCCAGGAGGAGCCTAGCCTTCCCTGCCAGGCAAATCACAAGACTAAGACCTCTGATGATTTGGTAAGGACTCCCCTCCCGCCCCCTGCCTCTCTGGAGGTCTAGCCTCTGTCAAATAAAGTGAGGAGGAGAAAAGGCAGGTAGAAAGGCTATTAACTTCATTCAACCCACAGCAACACTAAGAGAGTAAGAGGTGCTTAATCACATGGCCTTGCTCACGGGCCATTACTGACCTACTGTCACCTGAGACACAAGACTATTCCTCCCTGAGGGGGAGGCTCTGAAAGGCAAACCACAGTTTTCACAGTTTTGCCTAGGGATACCTCCAATTATACACTGGAGCCTTGTGAGGTCACATGTACTACAGGGTTATCCAAAAGGAGAGGTTGATGGCATCAAGTGTGAAGTACCAGACATTAAAGTTACAGCTTCATCTGCTTCCCTGAAGTATACTTGGTATCTTAGGAGGTGTCCACATTGAGTTGGAGGAGACTGCAAACACCAGCCTACCTCTGGGAAGAACACTCCCTGACTACTGTATACCTCTGTCTCATTTTGGAAACAGTCCTGACAGTTCTCAAAGTTCAACGTGGCGGGAACCCCGTTAGGAACAAAATGGCAAAACGGTGTCCTGTTTTGTGGGTATTTATGGCCGTAGGCAGGCTCTGAAAAGTATTCTGGTGATTAGAACAAGCTTGGGAAGCGCTGATGGGGAAATGATGAGAACAATTAATACAGTTCATACCTATCTACCTGTTATGGATTTGCTGAGGAAAAACTGCAGATAAAATTGCCCAGGCTAATGTATGAGGTCAATGGAGACTTAAGGGCAACTTTCTAGAGACCCTTCCTTCACATCACCCTGAGGACGTTCGATCAAACATTGCTATCTTTCACTTGAGAGCACCAATTCTGTGCCATGCAGAGGGGTCAGTCCAGAAAACTTTTGCAGCTTCTAAGACCTCTCATTTTTTCTCAACTTATACTATCTCCAAGATTAGGTGTTTCTACACTAAATGAATTCTTCTCTATAGATCGCATTTGCAACCTAAGTATGCACACATCCTTACCAGATTCTTCTTTTTTTTGGAGACAGGTTCTCATGTAGCCCAGGCTGGCCTGGAACTTGATATGTAGCCAAGGGTGGCCTCAAACTCCTGATCCTCATGTCTGGCTAGGATTACAGCTGTGTGCCACCACACTTGAATTTTAATTTTCTCTTCTTATAATTCAATTTCAAAATGAGATTGAACTACAACCATGAGTCTAGCTTTACAGGATATCACATGACTGGCCAAGCTTTCTGCACTTAAGAAGATAATTGTGCAATCAAACTCCAGGGCAAGGGCAGCAGCCTGAGGTTCAGGTTCAGACACCTAACAAAAGCTAAAAGAAAAAAACTAAAACAAACTCCTGCCTTTGACAATGTTCTGGCATATGAGTCGAGTGGGGGTAGGTCACATGGACTGGCTGGAACTCAGATGGCTCTGACTGGCTTAGGGCACCCTTTTCATGCCGGCTCCTGCATATGGACCTCCATCAGTGCTTTCTGACCCTGATATCTGTGCAACTGTTCAACCAGGGTGAGACAGAGAAGTGCAGCAGATCCTTTGCTGAGAAGAAAGATCTTCCTTTACCCACTATTCAGGGGAGAGACACGCTGCCAGGGTGCCGCCATCATCCCTAACTACAGCTTACTTCAATCTCACTGATTTCAGAGGAACAAATATTAAGGAACATACAAATATGATGGGCCACAGAAGTGAATAAGGCAGGGATCGCAAGACATCTGCGCAAAAGCATAATAAATATATAGAGAAAAATAAAAAATGTTCCCATCAAATCCCTGCTACAATGTGAATTTTAAAAATTATCTTATGAAGTCAATTTCATTAGAAACGTAGAATTCTCAGCATACAGTGTGAAAGGTTCCTGACATTCTCCTAAACCATGTTTATCTTGGGCAGGAGGAAAAAACTAATGTTTCATAAATTTACTCTTGATTTGAAAGTGGCTATATTTTGAATACCTTGCTTAACACTGCACATGGAAATGTATGCAGAATCACATCACTTGGTTTATGGATCTTTTAAGCATGGGTTATTTATTTTGGAATCAGTCACTTTCCCTGTGTGCGGTAACAAAGACTCTTAGACTCCGAGGGGGAGGCTAGTGACACATCAGAGCAGGTGAGGAAACACCAAGGTTTTCTGTTTGAAAGCAGCAGATCTGGTGTGGAGGAGTATGTAAGACATCACAAGGAATTTTAAATGTACTGTGGAATGGTTCTACTTAGAAATAAAAAGTAAAGGAAAAACATAAAAGTAGTAACTTGGTTTACATGTCTATACATGAGAAATTATCTCAAATTATATAAAAATAGCTTTCTGTGAGTGTTCAATGAAATAATGTCATATGTTAACAAATTATTTTTTTTTTATTGTGGGCGAAGACTGTCATCTGATCCTCAGCTAGCCTCAGCCAAAAGAACAACACAGGCAGAAACTAAGATGTACTGTAAATACTTAGATCAAGCTGTCTCCTTCAAAAGGGGCAAATTGAGGAAGTGAACAGGAAGTGGCATTAATAGCTACCCAGATCACTGACAGCTACACTGGGGCACCAAATGGTCCAATTCTACAGGGAGCCATCAACAATCCCCCTAAATACTCTAATTATGTAACCAGATGGCTAAATTTAGTTCATGCTTGACCATGACAAGGTCAGACCCAAGAACTGTCATCTAGTCTCCTGCAGCCTATAACTAAGCTTTGCTAACAAACAAACAAAAAAAGGCAGATCAGGATTTTTAAAAATCAGATTTAATATAATTATCAACTCTCCTGTCTTTGTTCTTAGCATAGCACATAATTTTGATATTTAAAAAAAGTTAGGGTGATCATTTTAGTTGGAACTTTTATGTATCAAGCACCTATT